AGCGGAAATTTTAAATATAATAAATTATATGAAAGTGTTAAAGTTTAAAAATATAACTATATAATAATATTTTTAATCACCTTTAAATATATTCGCGAATAAAATTATTCGAATATAAATATAATAAAGATCTAATAATTAAATACTTATTCGATTAGAATTAATTATATCTAAGATGTTCATTTAAATTTAAATTTGGATTTAATATTGTATATTATTATCATTTGGTTTTCATATTAATTTTTCTCCTATCCAATATTTTTAATATATATATGTTTTTAGATATACCTCAATAATTATTCGATCCCATTTCAATTAGAATATTTGTTAAGATAGTTGAAATTGGCATGGGAGATTTCTCTTTGACAACTTTGCCAATTATGTCAAAAGGTTTAACGATACCCCCCCCCCCCTTCTCCATTCTCTTAATATCAATAATGACAAATTTAACAGTAAAAAAAATAATATTATATTTTCACATAGAAACCCACAGACATTTTCTAAAATGTCATTATAAAGCATATTTAAGAGTGTAGAATAAAATAATATCAATAAAATAAATATTTTCCAAGGAATGATTTCAAATCTTTGAAATAAAGATTGAAATATTTAATGCCATCTGATTTTAAATAAAAAAATACATGTTTAAAAGAATATTAATATCCAACATATCACGTAAAAAAGTTAAACTATAAATAAAAAAACGTTTATAATAATCATAAATATTGTTTATAAATATTAATACCCCCTTTAATATGTATAATTTTTTTTTACAATTAATCTTGCTTTTACGATCAATTTGGCATGTCAGCAAATCTTATATTTAATTCTTATTTAGAGAAAATATACTGTAAACTTATTAAATATAATGGATAAAAAAGCGTCATAGGAAATTATATAAGGATGAAGATTTATTTAAATATATTGGTTTATGTTTAGATAATAATATTTATAAGTTTGTGTTTAGATAATGATATTATATATGTAACTCAAAAAAATATTAACTATGAATTATTAGTTATAATAAATTATTAAATATTTATTAGGTAGCAACATAATAAATTAGTCAGAATACAGAAGTTAGCGAGTGATGGCATAATAAATTATTTAGAATATAGAAGGTAGTAACTAGCAATAGACAAACTATTAATGATTTTAAACGATCCGTCAATAATAATTATATAGAAGAAGTTATGGTAATTTCACATAATCCCGATTAATTCATTCCAAAACCATTTTACAAGAATATGTCGGATTTTTTTATTGATTATTAGATCTTAATGCTTGGAACACTCCTTTATATATATATATATTCATACAATATAACCTAAACTACTAAATTAATTTATTCTGAAAATAAAATTATTAATTTTAATTAATTTTCACTAAAAATGAGGACGAGTTGGAATAATTATTCTTAGTCATTTTAAATTGAAATCATTAGAACCCGAACCCGAAATCCGAACCCGAAACCCGAACTCGAAACCCGAACTCGAAACCCGAATCCTCCCAAACCCTCGATATTTAGCCGAACCTAAACCCGAACCTTTTTTTTAAATTTAGGGTTCAGGGTCCAAGCTTATTTTTTATATTTATTTTAAAATTTCATTTTATTTATTTTAAATTTATATGTTAAAAATAAATATAATATTTTTTTTTAAAAAAAAAATGTAATTTACGATTTTCATTTTATAAAAGATTTCCTATTTTAAAAACAATCGTTTTATAATTTAAAAAAATAAAAAATATTTTTTGATAATTTTTTTTTTTTTCGTGGAATCATTTTTGTTATATTTTAAGAGTCGGCATTTTAGGTAGTGTTGTTAAATGGTTTCTTTTGAGCCCATTTTTAAAAACGGCTAACTCAATATTTTATCTAGAATAATGTTACGCAAGCCCTGCTGAAGATTTTGTTTGTAGAAGGAACAAAGGTTCAGACTTATATCAGCGAAATCTCGAAGCTTAGGCAATATTTTTTATGAATAAAATATCGAGTTGGCCATTTGTAAAAATCTGCTCAATGAGCCGTTTAACAAAACACTGCTTTTAGGAGTTGTGTTGTGGATTATTAAATTGATAGTGAGACAAAGAGAAGTACAAAATCACGAAATAAATTATAATTACGATGATAAATTAATTTTTATGGCAATACTAATTAAAATAAATCTTTTTTTTTAAAAAAGATGTTTCTGTTTATTTTAACTAATTTTAATAAGTCATTATTTTTCTGGCCTCCGAAACTTGAACCCGAACAGAGTTCGGTTTTAGAAAAGGGGGTTCACATCCCCGATAAAAATAATGAATGAGATACAAATTATATACTTGCAACATATCATAAAGTAACCTGATCAGCTACTTTTTCCGTTACATTCCAAAATACGAAACTAATTACAGTTACAATTATTGTTTTTTTTTCAAAAGTAACTAAAAAAAGGTAATTTTATTTGTAAAAAATTAAACTATTTTTTTTTAACAACACCTAAAATAAAAATGTACGAAATATACGGTTAAGAAAAAAATATAGATTTCATAATTTCTACAAATTTGTCTTTGCCTGATCAATAAATTTTTACATGAAATATCCATGGATAAATTCTCCTATATCGTATTTTTAAAAACTGATCGAAACTTTATTCTGAAAAAAAAAATTTAAACTAGAAAATCTAGTAAATCTAGGAAAATGAAAGATGAAAACAAAAATTAAATTTTGATGGATGTCTTTTTTAAATAATTTAATTTTCTGGCGATAACGAATCACCCTAACTTTGACCAAATCCAATATGGCGTGGTCAAGATTATCCCCCCTAAAAAATTTATCCTCAACTTAATGGTAGAGACTATTTTTTTTTAGAATAAGAACTTGGCTAAACTGTTCTAGAGCTGGGCAAGGTTAGATGGTTTAAACAATACTTTAAGTTTTTCTTTACGGTATTCTAGTGTTGCGCAGAATTCATTTAAACATTTCCATATTTTTTTAAATTTCGTTTTGTAAATTAAATTATTTAACTTTCGTAAAAAAAAAAATTGATAAGAATATATTAAGATTATGTTATTTTTAACAATTTATTTTTTTGTAAAATTAAAATAATTTTATTTTATCAAATAAATAAAAAATAAAATAAAATATGGTAATGTTTTAAATTAAATCTTCACAACAAGTCGCGTACTGGGGGGGGGCGCAGGGATTATAGCCCCCAGAATAATGTTATTAGCCCCTTGAAGCAAATTTTTTTTTAATAGTTGCCTAAAATAGGGTTAGGGTTAGGGTTAGGGTTACCATGAATTAAAATTAATATTTTTTGATAACCCCCCCCCCCCCCTTAAAGATTTCTTTTATAATTAGAATAAGTATTATATATAGATTTGATTTTATTATATTAAAAAAATTAAAAAGACTATCTAATTTTTTTTATTAAATCAGTGCTATATTTAAGTAACGGGGTTGCTATTTTTTTTTATAGAGTAACGCAAAATGTAACGACATTACTTTTTACGTAACGAACGTCAAGAAATATACTCATGATTTGAAATTATCGTTTCGCTCCAAATCATCGAATTAAATATTTTTTTTGGTTATCATTTCCGTAATCCTGATTTAAAGGAATATTTCATGATTCATCGTAAAATATCCTATCCAATTGGAATGAACCACGCACATTGCCAACCATTTTTCACTATTTTGATTGATCGCTAAATCCGTTATGGTGAACATCTTTTAATTCATCTGAATAAAAAAAATAAACATCCACCAAAAAAATCTTCAGAATAAAACTGTCCATAAGTTCGTTTAGCGGTTGTGAAAATCATGAGATATTTTTTATAAAAAATTTTCTGTACCATTTGTGGAGAAATTATGAAGGGGTCCGAGCCTTGCAGAGATATTAGAAATTTTGGAAAAAAAAAGAAGTTTTAGAGTCTAAAGATAATGAACAAATGATAGAATTATTTTTTTAGTAGGAGCCTTCCGATTGCAACCGGATATTGAATCCAATCCTTGACACTTCCACCCAACCCAAATTTTTTTGAACAATTATCCTGGCCCAAAATTTAACGAAAAGTCAAACCTTACCCGCGATATTTATGAAAAGTCAGGACCGGAGCTAAATTTACGAAAAGTCGGAGATGGGTTAGCTAAAATCTTACTAAAAGACTGCCGTACTTCCGGTTTCTCTTTCCTAAAAAAAAATTCTTACAAGTACCAGTTCCACTCCAACCCCCCCCCCCCCAAGATTATTAGTTTTTTTAGTTTATATTTGTATAAAAATTTTTACATTTCGAAAAATATTTAATAACAAAATCTTAAATATTTTCAATTTGCCAAAAAAAATATATATTTATAAAAATGAATTATTAATTAATTAATAAAAGTTTGTGACATCATAATTGTCCTAAAATTAAAGAAAAAATTAATGATTGCCACAATTTCGAGTAATGCTAAACCATTCTGAGAGTTTAGCAAACACAAAATAACAGGACATTAAAAAAATGATTATTTTCAAAAAATTGTGTTTATCGTGTTGGACTAAAATGACCTTAGCTAGCTTAAAGAATCAATTTTTCGAAATTTTTTTTATATCAATATCATCGCAAAACTTCAATCGTAACACTGGATTAGGTTATAACGGTTGTTCACCCTTTAAAAACCCGAAAATTTTGGGTTAAACCGGTTAAGAGCTACTATTTCCCCCTGTTTTCTCGCAAACAAACCACGTTTACGAGTTTTAAACCGATCATTATTAAAACGAATTTTATATCGTTGGATAGAGAATTTTTCCCTCTTTCCAGCCATATAATTTTTACGGAATATATTTTGAAGCTAAGGGTCCTAAAACTGGGATTATACAGGTTCAATCAAACACAATTTAGTCGCAAAAAATAAATATTTAATCTTTTTCCCTCGCATATTTTTTACGCGAAATTTTTTGAAAGAGAGGGTTTCGGAAAGGTTCGCAGATAACTATATATACACAACGGTTTTATTTTTGATTAATATTTACAATTTGATTTTTTAATAAATTAATCTTTTACTTAGTAATTCAATTACCCATCTTCTGAAATTGATTTCTTATCAAGGATTTGGAATATCAGCACCAATTCTAGAAGCAATTCCTACTCACCCTCTCACCACATTACTACTAAGGAACTAGACAAGATAAAGGAATCTCCCTGTAAACCTATCAAAGTTACAAATATGACAATCGATACCATGGAACCGATGGAACCCGAAACGCAGATGTCGGTAGTTGACGCCGGAGTCCCTAATAGCATGATTCCCAAAAAGAAAGGTGGAGCTAAGGCTGCAACCAAAAAAGCAGGGCCTAAATCGAAGACTCTCATGACCGGTGGTAGATCGCTCAAACCGTCACCAGTCGCTGCCTCCAGCCAATCTTCGAATCCCAATACGATAGTTTCTTCGGGTCACAAAACAACTCCCGCCAAAAAGGTAGTCAAAAAGACAAAGTCCGACAATTTGAATCACCCGACTTGGGGCGAGATGATTTGCGCCGCTATTTCTACCCTCAAGGATAGGACCGGATCTTCTAGACAAGCCATAGTCAAGTACATCAAAGCTAATTACCAGGTGGGAGACGATGCCAAGTATATCAACAAACACATCAAAATGGCGCTCAGGAAGATCACCAACGACGGCAAAATCAAACAGTCTAAAGGCACCGGTGCCTCTGGTTCCTTCAAATTGGGCGAAAATGTCAAGCCCGTCAAATCCTCCGACAAAAAACCCAAAACTCTTTCCACGACACCCGCCAAATCCTCCAACACCAAGAGGATAAAGAAGCCGAAAATGTCTGGAACTCCCAAAAAGCCCGTAGCCAAGACCGCGGTCAAAACGGCGACAGCCACGACCATTAAACCGAAGATGACAGGAGCGGAGAAGAAGAAATCAATTTTGAAGAAAAGCAAATCTCGTAAGTATTTTAAAAATATGTCAATTTGTTCCTTATTCAAACTATTCACGTGATTATGAATTTATAAAATTAAAATGTTTTTTAAAAATTTGCATAGCTGCCGCCACAAAGAAAGTTACCGCTACCACGATCAAACCGGTCGAGACCAAGAAAACGGGCAAAAAGACTCATGGCACAAAATCCCCCAAGAAGATGATCAAAGGCAGCAAATGAATCATGAATCTATAAATATAAATCATTACTTTAGAAAAATAACTATTTATTGTCAAATATTTGTACATAATAAATAATGGTAGATTTTTTTTATATATATTTATTTACGTATGATTATATTTTATTTATATTTTTTGTAAATATTCGATAAATAAAATATGGAAGTAGTAATTCTTCTGTAAAAAAAAAAATACAACATAGTGGAATATCTTGTATTTTTAAAAATATGGCGTCTTGATTTAAAAATTTAAGTAGAACGTATCTGGTATTTCCTGTTAGGATACCACATCGCAAAAAAAATTGTTAGCGAAATTTCGATGCGTCTTAAACTTGGTCCGAAATAATGTATGTGCCATCACCCCTTTATAAGTTTTTCAAATTAAATTATCTGGGGGGGGGGGTGTACTTACGGGATTCGGAAGTCCGTGAAGTTGGCGCAACGACTTCAGGATTAATTAATGATATCGAGCCGATCTGATTTATATCGAAAATGTAAATGTCGGTACCGAACCGATATATCGAATAGCATAGCTCTACAGTGTTGTGATGATTTAATGAAACATTGACTAATTAATACTTTAAAACCCATCATCTATATAAATTATTAATTTCTTTGCAAAAATAATTGAAATGTAGACAAATCATTATTGAAAATTCTTTTATTATTCCATTTGTTATTTTAATAATTTTTGCAATATGTATGATGGGTTTTAATTTAATCGTCAATATGTTTCATTAAATCATCACAACACTGGAATTATCTCGTTATGAGGCAATTAATTGTCAATTTCGAGTCGGCTTTAATTTTTTTATTATCACCATAAATTGAATGTTCCTTTTATACATTAAATAATATATAAAGCAATTTGTTAAAAATTAGAGGAAATTATTATTTTTTTTTCTTCATCTATGTTATTTAAACGATAAAATTTTATTCCGATAATCCTGCTTAGCCCTTATCCCTTTATAATCCTTTATCTGCATACATGAACAGGGTTGCCAGGTCTCCCTCCATCAGCAGGAGACTCCCGCTAGTTTACACGCAGACATCTCACTCCCGCAATTGGAAATCTACCGCAATTTTTAAATTTCTCTCGCACAATTTTTTAATATATAAATAATAAACAAGGTTTCATATTAAAATTAAACTCAACGCATCAATTTAAACAAGGCTGCGTTTACGTTTTAATATATGCGTTTTGAAACGCTGCGTTGCAATGTTCATTTTGTGCGCACTATAACATTATAGTGGTAGGTGCTTAATTATGACGTATCACGTTTAAATACATAATATGGTAATATTGTGCTTATTTCAATGATAATTATTTTATTATAAGCTCAATCACATTATTATAATCAGTGCGAATAAGCAAGGATATCACCAATATTTTAGGACCAGAATCCAGGTGGTCAATTCTTGACGATTTGAATATAGCAGTTTGAGATTATCAATGAGTTCCATGTCAACTTTCTGCGCTGATAATGCCTCAGTGAATTCAAAATCCAGAGTGTATTTACAGAATTGAGGCAGCCCAATGTTGACTTAATGCTAAATGGCGGTATATACCATGTACTACATAATTCTTGCAAGGCAATGAATGTATTATTGGATGTCGAAATAATTGTAATGAAATTTTTATCAAATTTAATCAACTAAAAGAGTTAATGAATTAAAAGAGTTGGTGAAGGGGTCTGACTTGGAATGGTGTGGGTTGTTGCGACATGTCCCTATCAGGTGGTAAATCTGTCCTAATATTTTGAAAAAATTTTCGAGAATGAAATGGCAGAGGCATATTTAGGAATGATTTCACTTGTAGGATATCTACTACATGTTGTTAATATGCAGTTGCAATCAGAAGAATTTTTTAAATAAAAATTCACAAAATTATGCTGCAGCTGTGTTCATTTTTACAGTTACAAATTGACATTAATTTTATGGGGCTATTACTGAAAATAATGTTCAAATATTACTCTAATTAATGTATTTTTAAATAATGCAAATTGCTGAAAATATCATATTAAAATGTTCAAATATTACTCTAATTAGTGTATTTTTAAATGAAGCAAATTTTTTTATTAAGACAATTTTAGAATATTTGCAATCAAAAGTTGATTTCAATAACTTGATTTCTTGGAACAGATATCATGAATTGATGGTTTTAGTAATTTTATAAATATATTAAAAATACCGATAGACATTGATGTCTTGTTTGAGGAGATTTAAATGATTTTCTTTTATATACATTATAAATAAAGTAACTCCACGAAAAAGAAGTTAATTTGAAAAATATTACATATTCTGAAATTATAAAAGGTTACCGACTTTGTTAATATTTATATAAAGAAATTATTATAAATAATATGGGGGGGTAACTAAACTAATTCACAATCCCGACCGAAAGCCGGCACTGCAATTTATATATACCCGTAATTTTCATATTTCACACCCGCAAAATACCAAATATCTCCCGCAATTTGAAAATAACCCGGCATCCCTGTCAATGAATACGAGAAATCACGTGATCTTCACGTCAAACGTTTACTATAAGCGGGGGAGGGGGTACTCTATTTCTTTTAATACCTGTAGTGGTAGGAGATATACATCAGAAGGGGAATAGGCTTAATTAATGGAGATGGGGGGTTGCGAATTCAATTTTTAAATTATAATAGGGCAAAAATATATTACTATAAAAATTCATGGACTTTTATTATGGACTTATTTGGATATACATACATAGATAGATTACTAAACATTGATTAAATCTATGTATTGCATACAATATAATCATAGTCCTTATATAATTATATATAGTAATTTAGGCTGTGTCCATAACCAGTTCGACAAATTGGAAAAGTTTCAAAACTTTCGCAGATTTTTTAAGATGTCCCTATTAAATTAAAAATTTTTTTTTATAGAAATTATGTTTTGGACATGTTTCCAGTTTTATATTTAATATAGCTTATTTATTTATTTTCGTTAAGGTTTGTAAATTTTTTTTTTTTTGATATTTTGGACACAATCCCTTAAAAGGGATAGAAGTACAAGTAGACCGTCTATCAGTAGACTTAAATTCATGCTAAACAATATACAAAAATCAATGACATATAATAATATCTAGACTGATGATGCATTCATAATAATGCATTGGAAAGTGTCGTTGAATGCAAATCAGCCTGAACCCGTTATTTTGGTGACCCATATAGTAATTATTCTCATTTTTAAAAACTACTATTAAAATTGATAAACTTGCTTCCTTATCATCTCGATGATCAAGGCAATTTTTTAATGTTTACGTCGGACTTAGGAATAAATTGGCTTCTCGTTTAAAAAAAATGGCGTCCCCAGCTGTTTTTCATTGGGTGCACACTTTCAATGAATGCATCTTCAGTCTAGGTAGGTATTGTTATCGGATCAAAACTTAGATTCACGCTAAATAAAACATTCATTCATATAAATGAGTAAGAAGGTTTCCATTTTTTAATTTAATTTTACGAAATTATTCAGAAAATTAATTCAGATTTTCTAAAAAAAATTAAAAAATAACTTTTTTACATTCACAATTTTTTGATAGTTTGTGAGATTGAGTATTGAAAATATAAGTTTTAAGATAATTATTCGAAAAAAATAATTTGTTTATGACTAAAAACTCATAATTTATAGGCGGATAAATTTGTTCTGAGTGGGGTAAGGTACAGATTTTTACCGGGTATTGGATCCGATGAATTTTCTGACATGTAGACTTTTTCACATCTTCCGATATGATAAATATTAGGAGAGGAAGGTGCCTTCGACTCCAATATCGTTAAACAGAACAATCTTGCTATAAATGTTTTAACGCAAGTTGGCGCTAATAGCGTTCCAAAAGTATATTTTTTTCTATATAGCTACAACATTTTTTAATGTTAGTCATGGGAAACAAAATAAAACTTGGTTATTCTTGATAATCAGTTAAAGGTTTTTTTGGTCTCTCATCATTAGTTTGTTAAAAGCCATTATAATTATTCAATTAATATTGATAATAAAGTTATAAATTGATGAAATTCATCCATATTATTTATTAATTTTTTTTCTTTCTCAGGTTTGAAGATGTTATCTAGAATACAAACAGGTTTTGAAATTAAGCTAGTGGTTAAAGTTAAGATAACTATCGATCTGAATAACTAAAGGGGGGGGGCTAAAGATATGCGTATTTTTAATCTACGAGGTTTTATTATTGAATTTCTTTTTTTTTAGATTAATCCATGCATTAAATTCAGAATTGGCTATTGATTAGTATCTATTTTTTAAAATAAATATTTCGATAATCGATAAGGGAATTGAGGGCACAGACCATTTTCCCATCATCATACAAAGAATAATTTTGCACTTTCAAATCTATTTTTGGGGCAAAATATATATTTTTTTTTCTTCTTTGAAATACTCTTGATTTTATAATCCAGGTTAGGTGTCTTCTTAGTGCATCTAACGAATATTAGGTAAAGATATAAATTGTAGTTTATATTTAATAATTTTATTAAGTTATACTACAAGTAGACCTGTGCGACGATGATTGACGGCTGCGGTTAAAATTTTTTATCGGCGTCCGCCGCCTACTTAAATTGTCGGTCGCGGCGGCGCGATATTTATTAAAAAAAATTTTTTTTTAAATAAATTTAATTTATAAATCAATATTACATTTTTTTTATAATTTGGCGCTCTTTTCTAACACATTGTTAACATAGTTTATTTCTTAAATTATTTCCTGTCTCACTTCAATTTAAATTCATGTATTTTCTCATTCTCAGAAAAATAGACTAAGGAATTGCATATTCACTTAGATCAGAGTCACATAAACAACACATATTAGTAATATTCTATTTATTTTTTATTATAACAAGTATATATTTGAAATGCAAACAAAATATTAAGTAAGAAATATAATAAATCAGAATTCAGATTTAGCTAAATCATAATTATCATGAATAAATAGAATTTTATCAAGATTGGTGGGACATAAATAAGTCCTTTTTGCATTGAGTATTAATCCAGCAATGGAAAAAATTCTTTCGCTGGGTGTACTAGTTGCAGGTATACAAAGAACCTTCCTAGCTAAATTTGCAAGCTTAGGAAGTTCCAGTTGTTTTTTCTTCCAAAAGTTTAATGCATCCTCTTCTGGGATATTATTTTGGCT